GCCTCTGGACTGTGAACTTAACAAGTGTTTCTTAGCTTCCCCCCCCCCCGCCCCCATCTTAGATGGGACAGGAGGGAGGTGGGCTGGAGTTCTGCAGATGTTAACTTGTTAGGAATCTAGACATTTACCAAATTTGCATACTGTCTCATGTTTTAAACCAAACTGCAACCCATATAACTTCAAGACTTGGCACAGGGTTACTTTTTAATCAGCTCTCGACTCTGTGGCCTGATCCTTGGGATTAGTAATAAAGGTGACTTCAAGGTAGGTGCCTCACACCCTTCTGGGAGAGACGTTTGCCGCACGCGCTGTACTCTGGCCACCCTCGTTACAAGTTCATCGCACAACTTGTTTAACATGTTTACTTTTTAAACACTTGGAGAATTAACAGGTGGCTGCATGACTGAGGTGTTTGTTTTAACAGGCTAAAAAGTGGGAGGTAATTTAGACACACACTATGATGCAATAGGAAAATACCTAATTATTTCCATTTTTGGCTCAGCTTTTAGTTTCAGTTAAAACTGCTGATAGCAAGGCTCAACAAGCCTATGGAGCAGCGAGTCCACCTAACACCGCCTTTATATGAGAAACCGGCTCACTAGCAGTTGTGGTTACTCCAGTTATCTGTACGTGCAGCCCTCCCCTTGGCTGGAGTTCTAGAACTTGGTAAAGGGTCTCTTTTCACAGTGTCTGCTATTCGAGTTTTGATGTGAATATAGAAGGCTCTGGAAGCCCCATATCTATTTCAGCATGCTCTAGATGCCAATGTATGGCATTTTCTGTCTGAAAATAGAATGCTCAGAAGGTAAAATCCTGAGAACAAGACAGCTAATTGTTCATTTGCCTGGTATGTTCACCCTGATGTGTCCAGATATAGGTTATGATTGGCTCTCAAACTGTCTTCATTAAGCAATTAGAAGGAGTGAGGAATTTTGCTGGATAGTTGTTCATTTGGTTTGGGGTCAAGGGACTATTGTTAGATGCGCACAGGGTTAAAGATAGGGATTCAAGGTCAGGATGACTGACTTTTTCTTTAAAGGGCTACATAAATGCTTTAGGATTTATGGGCCATGAAGCTTTCTCGTAACCACTCAGATCTGCTGTTGTAGCATGAAAGCATCCATAGATGATGCATAACTGAATGAGTGTGGCTATGTATCAATAAAACTGCATTTGCAAAAGCAAGTGGTAGGCTGGATTGGCCCATAGCCCTCATGTGTCAACTCCTGTCCTGGATCCCAGAAGATATACCACTAGGCTATATAAAACAGCAATAATTTTCAGCTAACTGGACTAATACGTATAACCTTGAATATTCATAGGCAAGACTTCACTGTACTTGTATATAACAAATTTGTTGTCAGGAAAAAAAAAGTATTCTTTTTTCACTGGCTTCTTTGGGAGCTAATCCAAATAATGTTTTTATTTATCAGTTATACCCCATTTCCTTCCCAAAATAATTTGGGTAGCTTATAATAAAAGACATGTTCAGCTATCAAAATATTTTGATACATAAAATCAACACCCACAAAGAAGGACATAGAAAACAGCCTCTGAATCTTTCGTATCTATTGCCAAGTCAGACTGGTAGCTCAACCACTGCTGGGACTGAACAGACCCGGGGATACCTCCTAGGTTTCATTCTGCTTTGCTCCTTAGTTTATCTTCTCTAGCATACTTTCCCTTCTGAAAAAAAATGTCCCCCATGTTTTATGTTAATCTGCTACCAAAGAAAGTGTTAGTATCTGTCATTTTTCTTCTGGTTGAAGTATAAGCCAAGAACTGTTAAACCAACTAAGTGGGTGCATGGGAAGAAAAGACAAAATTATAAGCCAATGAAAACTGTGGTGGCAAGTGACCTGTTCAGAGTAGATTCCAAGGCTCATAGAGCCAAGGGACTGTTTATCCAATCAGTTAGAGATGCAACTCCGCTGTCTGGGGGAAAGTGATGTTTCATTACTTTAGAGTTTGATGGTCAGAAGCACACCTGAGAGGTAGACCAGAGGAGGTGGGGATTCTGGCTAAGTGGCAGGGAGAATAACTTTCAGTGGGTGTCAGAATGCGGAAACCAGACCAAATGATTGGAAAGACTGCCAACTGGAATTGTGGCTCCAAAGACTGTTCTGAAATAGGGAAACTAGTCTGTGGGAAAACCGTGATTATGTGCAAATGACTATGATACAAGGTCTTAATTTGTAGCAGACTTGAATGCTCAGCCAAGTGGCTACAGAGGATCAGGTGGAACCCAGGGGGATCTGCTTAGATCCCTGGCACTGGGGAAGGAGACAGACATACTCATTCGGACACTGGAAACATGGATACCAGGAAAGGATTCACTCTCAAGTGAAGGTCAAAGAAGCTCATTTACTTGGTAGTTGGATTAAAATGAACAAAGTAGAACCAAAAGCAACACGGGCAGAATTAAAGACAAACAGGCCACTATCCTGGAAGAATTTTAACATGTGGTGATGTCTAACTCTGTGAGGTACCAGAAATAAATTCTATAATTGACACCTAGGAAGATGTTTGGTATCTGTTTTAAAAATGTTTTACATGTTCTGTAAATTTATAAATGTTGCAACCTTTAAGTGGAACAGAGAAATTAAGATTTTTCAACTTAAGCTGCCATTTCTTCTCTCATTCACTCTCGGTGAGAAGACAAATCCATGCAGTGTTTGTGAGGAGGGGGCAACATGGCTTATCTGTCAAGGTAATAAACACGCATACTATTTGATCCTGCAACTGGACTTTCATGATTTAACTTTAAAAAATCTTTCACGCTCAATCTGGCAGATATTTGTGCAAAGATAATCATTATAATTTAAAAAATTGCAATGAATTGCCAAAAAAAGTTTCAGATTTCAGAAGTTTGGGGATGTGAGAACTCTGTATAAAGGATTGCAGATCTGGATATATAAGCCTTTAAGTTCAGCAAGGATAAACTGTGAAGTGGAAAGAGTAGGCTTCAGAACAGTGTACCCAGAATGCCTTCCTTCTTTGGAAGTGATAGTAATCAGTTGTGTGTGAAGATACATGCATACCAGGTCTAGAACCATACACAAAATTGTTCGTGATGGTTATGGCAGATGTAGAGATTACAGTGTTTGAGAAAATAAGCTGCTTCTTATGGTCAACTAGAATAAGGAACCCCACATTTCTTCGTTCTAACACTGGGGAGCTGGAGGGGCAGAGGGGACTTAAAGTAGTGCCTGGGTTCAACTTGAGAACAGTGTATCAGAAGCGAAAAGCAGCTTTGCTTTTCACAACTCATATGAGGTTGAGGTGTCATCATCATGTTACAGGGTGCAGCCAAGAGGTGGGACCCCAAATAGGCATTTGAAATGGGGTCCAGAACTCAAGGTGTCCAGGAGATTTTAAGGTGTCTTCACCCCTTCCCCCACAGGTGTGAGTTGGGGGGAAGGGGCACACAGAGCAAGAACATGCAGGGCAGCTTTGCAGCTAATCCATGGCATGGTCATTTAGCATACCTATAGCCTTTGGCTGGTCACTTAGATATGCTAAATAGCTATGGCCATGTTCAAGGCCAGGGGGATGGAAAGGGATCTTCCCCCCCAGATGTGACTGGGGGGGAAGGTCCCCCGAGTTACAGCACCTGGGTGGGAGCTTGGAGATGATTGACTCCAGGACATGGGGCCATGCCTGCCCAGACTCATGATGGCAGCCCAGTAAAGCTGGAAAGATACGAGTTCTGGCATGTGAAGCCAAGTGTAGGAGGAGTCGGAAATGGGGCTGCAGAAGAAGATTGGCGCGGGGGATTTAAACCCAGACACGACAGCCATTAGGAGAGAACCATGTGGCTTTAGCAGAGTGGGAAGGACCTCAGCCATAGAGGAGAGAAACATGTGGCTGTGGAAGTGCAGAGAGGATCACGGCCATTGGAGAGAGAACCACACGGCTTTAGCAGAGTGAAGACTCCCACATCCCTGAGAGGGAGAACCACGCGGCCTGGACAGAGTGGGGACCCCCACAGCTTTAGAAGGGGAACCACCACTTGGTTTTAGCAGAGATCCCGGCGACTCAGCTGTGGGTGCCGGGAACCCAGGGAGGTCTCCCAGTCAAGATGGAGTACTAACTGGGAAGAACCAGAGGACTGCCTGAGCCATGGACTTCTATTTCCTTTCCTGAGATACGGTACTCTGGACTGGGCAAAGGGGGAAGGAAGGAAGGACTGTGTCTGTTTGTGGGTGTTTTAAGGGACTTTAGGATTTTTGATAAAGACATTAGGTCACTACTTGAAGTTTGTATAGCATTAAAGAAACATTTCCTTTCCTTTTCACAAATCTCTGGCATTGAGAGACGTCTTTCCTCGGGCAGCGGACATAATGGACCCGGGGGCTTCTTTATATCGTCCCAGGCCCCCCTTGTTTGTTCTGTAACAATCACAGATACTCACAGTCATGCCTGTCTGACTCGGGCATTTCGTTTATTTGCTCATGTAGCAAATATTTATTGAGTGCCTATGTTGTGTCAAACACCATGCAGGGCACTCAGACTATATAGCAGTGACAGGGCAGAGGTGACCTCACGCAGAGGGACGCAAGCTGTGATGAGGAAGCCTGAAGGATGTGTATTGTTTAAATGGACGCATGCAGGTGCCCAATTGAGAGTAACAGCAGTTGGCATTATGACGAAATTCAAACAGTTTTTTTCTTGTCACTTTTTTTTTCATTTTAGTCTCTAAGTTACGTATTTATAATAGAGTTTTTGAGGATCAATGTTTTAATTATGAAACCTTCTAGAAAGAGTTTGTTTGGCAGGTCTGTGACAATGACCCACACAGCCATCAAGTAGCTTTGGTTTCTAATTGCATCCACACTTCCTGTATTGACACTGCAGCCCCTCACCCTGCACAGGGAGGAATCTCTAAATAAACATAATCTTAAGGTAAGTAGACAGAGAAATAAATATAGATATGTAGATGTATAGATGCATGTGTGTGTTTTGCCACTTATCACAAATGTTTGTGTTTCTTTCCACAGAAAAAGCAAAGAACAAAAGATCTTTCTCGGGTATTTCATTCTTACAGTCCATATGATCACAAGGTAAGAGCTGCATGTGATTGATGCATTTGGTAGTAGAAACGTCTTTCTGAATGTATGGCACAGTCTTTCTGGGTACATAGTGATTTTATAGTATACCTACCAATTTTACTTATACTTCTATTTTCATTTTCAACGCTATGTCTTTAAAAAAAACCAGAATATTTGTATTTTGAACTAAAATAATTATATTTTATTCACATTAAAATCTAGTTACATGGTCACTGAAATCTCAAAGACTAAGAAGATAGGTTTTGGGGTGTTTTTTGGTCTGATTGGGTTTTTCTTACCAAACAACCCAGTGATGGACTTGGCTTTTGAATTGGTACAGATAGTTGAAATATTAACTCCCAGTTCTTGGTTCTTCATTGCTCCTGATAGAAAGTTATTTTTCTAAATAAAAACCCTCACAAAAAGCAGTGTATAGCATTATGTCTGAGATAACCCTGCCAATACTTTTGCTACACAGAACACCAAACAGTGGAGTGGAACTCTGTGAGTATGTCCCACAGATGTGCCCATGGCCAGTCTTCATTCCTTTATACCACATGCTCTCCACTACCTGTATCTGAAGAATTTCCAGGCAGCTTTTCCCGTATTAGTACTTCACTATGCATTTGTAAGAGATAAGGACTCTTAAAAAAACAATTTATAACTGTTTTTAAAGAAAATGCTCAGTACCACATCTTCAGAGGGAAATACATTGCAAGATTTCTGAGAGTTCTACGAAACTTCTTCACCATGTAAGTTTCCAATAAATCTATTAATTTGAGGTGATTTCAGAAGCAAACAAAAATTTGCACAGTTGAATTGCTAATATAAACTTAAATCTTTTGCTGTGAATTTACAAGGAGACATGTGGTGGGGATTTTTTAACTAGCCAAAAAAAGTAGTGTGAAAACTACTTTCCTCAGTTGAGAATATGAAGATGTCTGGATTCAGGAGGAAAAAATTGTGCCAGTTGTTCATAGAAGTTGAAAGAATTTGAATAGTTTCTAGTGTTCCTATAGTGACCAATTAACTTAAGCACCAAAAATTTTTAAAAGATGTGTTTATGCTCCTCCATGTCACCCTGGCTATTTATAAGACTAAAAAGTATATCAAGTTACTTTTTTGAAGTTAAATCAATCACTTTGCAGAATATAGCAACTTGTTTGAAAGAATTTGAGAGATCCTCTAGGTTCTGACAATGCAGACAATGCAGACGGAAGGTGCAGACTGTTGAGTAACACACAAAAGCAAAAGGAATGAGATTGGCCAGATTTCTGATGGAAAAGCTGAATTTTTAAATTTTTTCCTAAGATTTTTTTTTTAATTTTTAGAGAGAGGGAAAGAGGGGAAGAAAGAGAGGGAGGGAAACATCAACATGTGCTTGCTTCTCATGCACCACCCCCTACTGGGGACCTGGCCTGCAACCCAGGTATGTGTCCTGACTGAGAATCAAACCAGCAACCCTTTGGTTCGTAGGCCAGCACTCAATCCACTCAGCCACACCAAAACAGTTGAATTTTTTTTAGATGAAGCTATATAATGAACATAAATGCAGCAGTGGCTAAAGTTAACATTTAACAACAGCAAAACTGTGACAAATGTTTTGCCTGACTTGTCTATAATTTGCCCACTTCTAACATCTTTTTAATTCACAGTTAAGGGAAATTCCACTATTCTTTTATTAGAACTCTTAATGGAATTTAGCCATTTGCAGCTTCTACCAGCTTCCTCTTCATATCCTTTGTGGCATTGTATCAAAGTCACCTCAGATTATTTTGGCTTCCCTTGTGAAGACTTCATTCCTCTACAAATTAGTCATCAGGCAATGAGGAATTGAATGTAAGTGCTAGATGGGGTTCCTTTTGATCTTTGCTTTGAGATTGGTAATAAATTATTATAAGTAGCTAGACTACTTGGTGAGTGATTTTTGAAGCTTCCAAGGTTTGGCCTATTGGCATTCTGTTTTATTCGTATGTGTAGTAAAGGAAAAGGAAAAAATTTCCTTCTAGGCAGCTCTCCTGCCCCTTAGTCGCCTCCTCCCATTTTTCCAGTTCTATCTGGGCAAATCCGTGTTACTTTTAACCTTGTCTCTTGTTGATCCGTGTCCACAAAGACTGAAGTCACAGGGACTGAGTAGCATGGACTCTTTTCTCAGTCTCAGAATGTTCCTTTTCCCCCATAAATAAAATGATAGAGGACTGTGATTCAAGTTACTTTGTCATTTTAATTAACCAGTTATATTTAAACAAATTCATTTTCTAGGCAGATAAGTTTTAGTTTAAAACGTTTTGTAAGAGGTGGTTATGGTTGGCTGAAACATGTCATGCTCAGTGAGATTTCTGGAGTGACCTTTAGGTTAAATATGCACATGTATTGTAAATGAAAGCTTATATAAAATAAAGTATAGGCTGTGTGGGATTTGCTTTAAAAAGAGTTCAAGGAGGGGAGTGGGCAGGGGAGATTAAAAGATTGGCCCTGTGTTGATGATTATTGACACTGAATGATGGGTTTGTGGGGTTCATCAGCTCTACTCTGTGTTTATTTTCTGTGATTGAAATATTCCATAATAAAAAAGATGCAAAAGTAAAATAAACTGTGGTCTGCTCCCAGTAGTGAATGTTATGGCATTCTTTTCCTTTCTAGCTAAATTCCTTTTATTGTTAATGTTCCCCTTGATGTGAATTTACACCACAGAAGGACTATCCGCATTTCAGTGGGTTCATTATGCTGAGTAAACTCAGAAATGAAACTCCTGTCCTTACATTGGCAAAATTTCCTGGGGCTTCATCCCAAATTATAGTGGGTCACTTAAATGATAACCTTGCTTACTAGAAACTGTTAAAACAGTTGTGATTACAAAGGGTAGTTAGTGCAACCGTTTCGTTCTCTGTGGAGCAGTTGTGTTTGCTCTTCTTTTTTTCCCCTCAACCAAAATCCTCCTGCCTGACCCCCAGACACAGGACAGTCACAGGTTAAACAAACGTGGTGTTTGAGTCAGACCAGGTGCATTTCCTAATGTCCTGCCCTAAAGCTTTTGTTTGGGTTGTAAATGGTCAGTTGGTTTTCTCTTAAATGCTGTTGCAAAAAACAAACAGAGTTTAGGACAGAATGTGCACTCAGAATGAGCCTTAAGGAAAATACCTGATTTATTTTTTATGCTCTTAAGACAAATTTTGCTGGACACTGGAAGAATTTCCTTTTGGACTGTTATCTCTGGTTCCATGCCTATTTAACTCCTTTTTCAGGAGTTCTTACAGATTTATGCAGAAAGACTTTAACCAGAGATAATTCCCATTTATTTGCCCATTAGTAAAGGAAATTCAAAATACAGGTAATATGATGGTATTTTGTGCACTATATTTATTCTGTTGCTTTATTAAACATAATAATTGTAGCTTATAGTTTCCAAAAACACAGCATACTAACCAGCAGGAAAGTTCAGGGCCACAGGTCTTCTAGGTCATAGAAAGCGAACTTGGAGCTGGGTTTTTCCTTTGGATAAGTCACAGGTAAGTAGACTAGGGTATAATTAGAACATTTTTATGAAAGTTATGCAAATTAGCATGTGCTTTCTGTAGCTTGAAAGAAAATATTGCTATGCCTTTAAAAGATGTTTCTCTCTTATTACCCTTCCTTTCTTCTTTTCTTTATGGTTAGATTTGATCAAAGTTACGTGTTCGGGAACTTTAGGGTTATTAGCCAAACACAGGTGTTTATAATCTGCTAATGTAAAAAGCTATTATAAATGTGAAAATACTTGGAAAGAAAAAACTAGAAAATTTTGTTTAAGTATATAGTAGTTTCTTAACATCTACAAAGTTGACAAAGTTCCTAAACACAGTTAATCTGTATGAATTCATAGATAGTAGATCATTAAAAGGGAGTCTTTAACAGGCTGTCACTATTATAGTTTCTGTATTTTGTGAAGTAGTGGGTTTCTCATTTTCTTTTAATGACTTGTTATTTTAATAATTTTCTATGTTTGAAGACATAATTCAATGGACACACAAGAAACATTACTATATAGCTCCTGCATTGACGAAGTAAGCTTTTCTTTTGGAAACTAATGTTATTTTAATAATTTTCTACCTGCATAGACATATATCAGTTGAACTGTAAACAAATTCATGTGTTAAAAAAAGACAACCGTACTTGAACAATAAAATAATTTTTAAAAAAATTTTAAAAAACAGCTATGTATGAAGACCGTTGCTAAGCTAGCGTATGAGTGGGATGGAAAACGAACGTGAGTGCTTTACTCAACCCAGAGGTTTTGCGTGCTGCCATCTTAGGTTTGACTGAAACACAGCTCAGACCCTGTGAGTGAGCTAGCCTGGGCCCAGCCTGGCCGAGTTACTGTTGCATTCTCTCTCTGCACCTCATTACTTCTTCAGTCCCCTATCCACAAACAGACCACTTTAAAAAAATAGTTCTAGCAAACAAAGATGCCTGGTTTCCCAAACCACAGTCAACCCCTAGCAGCAGTTAAAAAGAGGGTGGTTATTGCTTTAAGAAGTCAGAGCTTCATTAAGAAGTGGCTGCACACTAAATGAAGGCAAGGCCAAGGCCATAAAAACTATAAGTCATTAACAGAGGAACTCTAAAAGTGCAGCTGCCCAAGACCAGTTAATTTGGACCCAGATGCCCAAATATCCCCACATATTTTAATAGTTCCAGGGTAAAATAAATGGGCCTAAATTACATCAAGAAACAGATGTTTTGTTTTAAAGTAGTAGAGATGTGTATAACCTATTTTTAGAAACGTTGATACAAGAATAAATTTTATTTATCTTGAAACCCTCTTAGAACAGCTGGTTAAGAATGTTGGATAAGTGAAGTATTACTATAGAGTTGTTTTAATAAAAGAAATAGTGAAAGAGTGGTTGAACATGTGTTGGTAGTTGAGTAAGGAACAAAAATGTGTATGAGCATAAAAGATGAGGAGGTAGAATCACTGTCCCCACAAATTACTCATTGTATAATTAGATGCTGTGAAGATTGAATTCTTCAAG